TGTAGATCAGTGGTTCTCAACCTTTTTAATGCCGCGACCCCCAACCGGTCATAAGTCGAGGACTACCCAACTGGTCGTAAGTTGAGAACTATCCAACTGGTTGTAAGTCGAGGACTTTCCCTGCCTGGGAGCACCGTGCATGCGTGGTGCAGCCCCCTGCGCCGGCCGAGGCATAGCTGGCAAGCGGCAGAGATGGCGCAGGCCGAACACTGGCTGTGCCACCAGTTGGCCCAGCCCAAGGGAGGTAAGGCACCCGCCGGGCCCCATGCATGCCAGCAACCCTCCCTGCACCCGCCGGCCTCCCACCTCCCACCCCTGGCCCTCTTTTACTTACATTTTTAATAGTTGCTCAGCAGGGAGGGGTGGAAGCTTCCAGACAGCTCGCCTTCGCTGCAGACAACTTGCAGCACCGTTTGCAGAATGGGACTTTTGGCGGGCTCAGCAGGGCAGAGACAGCCTGAATAATCCCTATTGGCTTTTGAAAACCAATAGAATTAGACTCTATTCAAGAGAGTCTATTCTATTGGCTTTCAAAAGCCGATAGAATAAAAGGGAGTAGCACAGCTAAGGAAAAGGGAAAAAAAATGGCGGACTGCATTGTTTGGCGACCCCTGTGAAATGGTCGTTCGACCCCAAATGGGGTCCCGACCCACAGGTTGAGAACACTGCTGTAGATAATAGTGTTGGATTGCTTCAGTTTGTCTTTAGAAATTTATCAAGCAATTCTAGTTGCTAGAAGCTGTTTCAAACTCTTTCAGTTTTGATAAATTCTGCAACTAACATGAGGTCTACAAATGAGGTGAATTTCTTGACTAGAGTCACTTCTCACCTAGATTAGAATTGGGTCACTTCTTTAGGAAACACTTCATTGAAACAAGGGTAGCCATTTTTCATAGGCCTTATGAATAGCAGTGATCAGTGATTTTCAGAAGAACAATTGCTGTAAATACTTCTCACAAAAAACAAAAACAAAAATGTAATTGTTGCACAGGGGTTCTGAAAAATGTTCAGGAAAATTTCAGTTGCATGCACTTGTTTTAAAAAAGTCACTTTTGCTATTACATTAGCAAAATGTCATTTATGTATTATAATTCTAAAATGATTAAAATAACCAGAACAGCAAATTAGCACTACTTCTACATTCAATGGATTGTCCTTTAAAATGGTGAGGTACTGAAATGGCAATTATTGCTATTAAGTGGCTTGGATAGGCATCTGTTATTGCTTTTTTTAGTGTTAAAAATAAAATAACTATTTTTTCTCCAAGCCAGTATTTTCATTATGCTTTGTTGTAAAGATCATTTACTTTAAAGTGTCCTATGTGTAGCCCATTGAACATCTGTACCTGTGAAGCTATCTTTTATAAAAATTATAAACAAAAAGATTTCTGAACAAATCTTCTTAAGGATAAATAGGCCATATCCTTCACCTGTTTGTAATTAACCTGAAGGCAGAATAGGGTGTATAATGTATATTTGGGAAGATAGCACTGGCTTAATCATTATTTGAGAATATCCAGTACAGTAGCCATCTAGACTTTACTGCATGAAAATATACTTCTAATGGATAGAAAATGATCTATCTGAACACCTTTTGTTCTAATTTTGTCCCAACTTTCTAATTTACATTTAGATTCCAGATTTTACACCATTTACATTTTATCCTATTTATATTTCCATTTTTCTTTTTATTATAAAGATTGCTTACATAATAGCAATAACATTATTTAGACTTATATACCACCCACAGTACTTTACAGCATTCTCCAGCATTATTTGCATATTGCCTCCAACCATCTGGATCTTCATTTTATCAAGGTCAGAAGGATGGAAGGCTGATCCTCTTGAGGATTGAAGTCAAAGCTGTGGGCAGTTTTTGTCTGCAATGCTGCACTTAACCACTACATCACCAGGGCTCCTCTCTAAGTATTTAGAAAAGTAATTTCCAACTATAAAGGATTTTATTAAAAAAAAGAATTATTATAATTCCATAGGTCTCAGTTGTGAAATTTCTGAAAATTTCTAACTAAATAGTTTTGAGACTTACGAACAGGGACATGTAATATACATCCATTCAGACTCCTGATCTCATCAGTCAAGCCTTCCCATCCAATATTGAAAGGCCATAGATTCACCTCTGTTTTAGTTGAATAATGGTAGATGTTGGGTCTATTCTTCATGATTGCACTCTTCATAGGGAATAGTGCAGAGATGTTAAAATTAAGGGAAATGAATTGAAATACAGTTCAGTATTAAACTTAGAAATAAATGTGTTTATTATACTGTATATGCTTTCGGATGTGATGAAATGACTCTAAAATGATCATAATGTATTTGCATTTTTAAAATAGGACATAAGAACAAATTTTGTATTCTCTTTTAAAGGAATTTTTGGATTTACAAACAAAGAGTTGAGGATAATATATAATTTTAAGACATTATATGAAATGTCTTAGTATCTCATGAAAGAGAGGAAGTAACTGATTTCTTTTGTTTGGGTATAACTTGACAGCTAGAAAATTAGATTAGAAATGGAGAGACTTCTTATTCCTTTCTTGCTAGGAAGGTCACTGGGAGACTGTGGGCCAGTCATTTTCTTTCAGCCCAACCCATCTTACAGTCTTGATGTTGTAGGGAAAAAATAAGAGGTATGAGTATTACATGTATCACAGTAAGATATATAAAATAAAGGTGGACTATAAATTAAATAATTAACATTTCTATAAATTAAACTATGTTCTTCAGGTAAGCCTCAATTAACAACCACTATTCAGTGGCCATTTGAAGTTGCAATAGTCCTGAATGAGTGATATAATCTGGCTGTTGCACCACTCCTGTAGTCATGAATAATAGTGATCTGGGCACCTGGACAACAGTTGGTTCAGACTAGAAAGCTAAAGAAGAAACATGCATAAGCTTTTCTTTCATTTTTACATATTAAAGTTAATTGAGAGTCATTATTATTAGTGGACCAGAGGAATGCTATGGATATAATTTAGTTGGACTTCAGTAAGGCATTTGATAAAGTAGACCACAACCTACTACTTGATAAGATAGAAAAATATGGGTTAGATAGCATCATCAACAGATGGATTTGTAACTGGCTGACCATCTGCACTCAATGTGTAGTCCTCAATGGAACTGCATCTATATGCAGTGGGCTCTGTTTTAGGCACAGTACTCTTCAACATCTTCATCAATGATTTGGATGAGGGGATAGATTGGGAACTCATCAAATTTGCAGACGACACCAAACTGGCTGGAATAGCCAACACTCCAGAAGAGAGGCTTAAGATACAGAAGGCTCTTGACAGGCTTGAATATTTGGCGATATTTAGCAAAATGAAATTCAATGATGAAAAAGGTAAGGTTCTATATTTAGGTAAGAAAAATTATATGCACAGGTATAGTATAGGTGGTACTTGGGTCAATAGTAGTAACTGTGAGAGGGATCTCGGGGTCCTAGTGGACGATCACTTAAATATGAGCCAGCAGTGTGCTGCAGTTGTCAAAAGGACAAACACAGTCCTAGCCTGCATTAACAGATGGAATAGAATCAAGATCACATGAAGTGTTAATACCATTTGGAATACTATATCCAGTTTTGGTCACTACAATGTAAAAAAGATGTTGAGATTCTAGAAAGAGTGCAAACAAGAGCAACGAAGATGATTAGGGGATTGGAGACTAAAACATATAAAGAACTGTTGCTGGAATTGGGTATGTCTAGTTTAATGAAGAGAAGGATGAGGGGTGACATGATAGCAGTGTTCCAATATTTTAGGGGTTGCCACAAAGAAGTTATTCTCCAAAGCACCCGAGGGCAGGACAAGAAGCAATGGATGGAAACTAATGAAGGAGAGAAGCAAACTAGAACTAAGGAGAATTTTTCTGACAGTTAGAACAATTAATCATTGGAACAATTTGCCTCCAGAAGTTGTGAATGCTCCAACACTGGATGTTTTTAAGAAGAGATTGGACAACCATTTGTCTGAAATTATATAGGGTTTCCTACCTAAGCAGGGGTTGGACTAGAAGACCTCCAAGATCTCTTCCAACTCTGTTATTCTGTTATTATATATCTAATTTGATGCAAAAGACATCTGACATGTTCAGCTTCCTTATTTTGAATTTGTAAATGACTTGGAATAAATACAAATGTGTATTTAAATTTATAGAAAGCTGTTGGGTTAAATTTGGACCACATGCAGAGAATGCTAGTTTTAGTTCCCTTAGAAACTAGTGAATATTTACCACTCCTTTAGTTTTAATCCCATCCTATTTTTTCTACCTACATTTTTAAACATGTAATTATTGTATTTAAATGTTAATACCGTAGGTAAATTAATGCCATTTTTAATTGAATTGTGATTGACAATTATAAACAATTCTAGCACACCTTTTGTTAAAGTCTTTTAAGGCATCCTTTCTCTGGGAGTCATAGAAAATTCCTGATGAACTTTATGTCTTGCAATTCTTTCTAGTTCAGCAACATTCTTTATTCGTTCAAATGAATCCTGTCATTCTTTCTCATGTTTTAAGTCATTGGCAAGCAGTTACAATTGTAATTTTCTTTGCTGCCTGAAATAATACGGCTTTTAGATACCCCATGAAAACTAAAGTCCCCACAAAATTTGGTGCCTTTGTTGTCCTTCTGCTAGAAAGGAAAAGGAAGGTAAAGGAAAGAAAATTCATTGTGATGAGCTGAATAACATCAGTTAGATACTTGGGTTGGAACAGTTACTATGGAAAAGACAAGGTTGTAATGTTCATATTCAAAGTACCGATTATGAGTAATAGAAGCTGGTTTGTATTCCAAATGAAGCAGCTTTGCTAATAATAATCTTTATTAGAGAATTGGATTCTTATAATGAATACTTTTGTGGACATTAATTTGAAAGTTAATGGAAATGCATTGATTAGGATCAAATATAGGTCTTTTTGTAGGTATCTACTTATTAAAACTTCTGTCTCTTTTTTTTCTTTTTGGAAAAAACATAGGTATTGAACACTTAAAGACAAAAATAAGAAGTACTGTATCTGTGCGGGAAGGGCAAGGGGTTGTTCTCCTCTGTGGAGCACCAATTCATTCTGGAGGTAAGGAAACAGGAATCTATTACATGATCAGGCAAAATGATTGATGTGCAGTAGAGCAGGATATTATGAATATCCAAAAGTCATGTTTGAATCTATATTAGTGATTACATTATTTAAATTGTGATATTGGGCTATTGCACTTTTTTTTGTTTAAAAAATCCTAAATATAAATTTTAATAAAACTGGCATGCTTATGGAAGAAAAGGAAGTATGGAAGAAACGGAATAATTTCAATAAATGAAAATATTTGTATTTCAGGATTGAAATAAGGGGACTTTGGTGGTCTCTAAGCTTGGTTATTTTCTTGCAGACGTTTCACTACCCAAACTAGGTAATATCATCAGTGCTAGTCTTGATGACTAGTGATCAACACTGATGATGTTATCTACTTTGGGTAATGAAACTTCTGTAAGAAAACAACCAAGCTTTGAAGGCATCAAGGACCCCTCAGGGAATGGCTTGAATAGAGATTTACTATTCTGATAAATGACAGTGCAAGCTATTTCATGAAAGAAGTTCATGTAAGAAATTCAACTAAAATGTCCAATATTCCCATAGTTGCGTGTAACAGGAAACTCAAATCATAGAAACACAGAGATTTAGTTAAACCCAGTACTGTGATTTCTATCGCATTTAAAAGTATCTGTTTTAAACTTGGCACTAGATTCAGAACCATTGGGATTATGTATTTTTATTACATAGATAATAGAAATCTATTTTATAAACCTATTTCATGCTGCTGAGAATTGAAATTATTTTTTTTTCTGGCTTCCAAAAGCTGTGTTTCCATCTTCATATTATTGAATTGGAAATGCTTTCAGCAGCTGTAGGTAATGGCAGTAAAGATTCCATCTGTTCCTTTTTTAAAATTCATTTTTAAGGTCTTTAAGATCATCTATAGAGAAAAAGGGAAAAGTGTTTGCTTTTGAGGTAAAGAGCATAGTGATATGCCAGTCAGAATACAATCCTATGCAGGGCTTCTTAGAAAAAAATCCATAGAATTTAATGCTAATCTTGGATCTTCTTAACCACGATACCCTTTTTTCTTTGATAGAAATCAAAGATAAAGAGCATAGAACCAACAGATGTGTGAATGAGTATGTGTGTGTGTGTGTGTGTGTGTGTATGCATTTGTGAGTATGAATGTATGTATGTATGTATTTATATGTGTGGATACAAAGTCTACTATTATACAAAGTCTACTATTGTGGATACAAATATTATATAGATATAGTAAATAAGGATTAATGATAAAATCTCCAAGTTTAGAGTTTAAAAAAATCTGCTTTTTAATATCATCACATAAAATGACAACAATAATAATAATGCAATGTAATACAGTAATAATTTATTGTGCTATTGCCATATCAAATTGAAAAGAAGAAAGTATAGATCATAAGTGTGTCAATATCAGGAGATAGTAGAAGAAAGATCTAAAAATCATGATTTTCAAGATCTGAAAATTGTAATTGAAAGATTATGACATAAACTGGCTGAGATGGTCACAGGAATTATCAGCACACTAGATGCCAAAACAAAACTTCTTGGACAGCTTAGAAAATCTGTAGTAGTACCTTAGGTTCTTAGGGAAAATTCAATGTATGTAAAGGCCAACACCAACGAAAGAATGATAGCTGTGATTTCACAAAGCAAAAATACTACCAATAATAATAGATGCCTTAAGTACAATCTCAAAACCTCTGGTGAACCATTTGAACACCATGGGCATTGACAAAAATCACCATCAGTCAATTACAAAACAGCTTTATCTGAAACGTTATATCGTGCAACAATACCTTTAATACTGTACCATTAACAGTTTCTGCCTATAACATGTCCTTTGGAAAGATTCAGTAGATAGATAAAATCTAGTCTAGATTAATTGATTGTGATAAATCATAATATGATACTTTCAGCACCATCTAATAACATCTGCCTATTCAGGTTCTTGGAAAGGACTCAATATGTAGATAAAAATGCCATATCCAGTCTAAACATCTGGCAGACTGTGTGATCAATAAAGGAATTTCAGTAACTATTCATCTACATTGGAGGCCAAAATATTTATTCCACATCACAAGAAATACAATCAAAGCTAAACAATTATTTATCACAGAATCAGGATCAAAATGTGTCTCCTGATGCCAGAGTCTCTGAAGTATAAATCTGTGTGGGGAAAAAAATCTTAATATAGTTTCTGTTGTTCATTTAGTACAGTCAGTTTCTATAAATTTGACCATATTTAAATAATCTTGTAAAATTGATCATAATCTAAAAATTATTTGAATTAGTAATTTAACATACCGTATGAGGAAAGCTTACATATCATATACCCACAACTACTTAGATTGGATTCTGTCTACATAGTTATGGACCCAAGCCAGTTTTATCTACATTGTACATTTCTTCACTCAGTATTAAATTCATTGTGACTTAATTAATTTCATACAGATATTGTTTATATTATCCATGTCATAATAGCTCTTGGTGACTTCTTGATTATGTTCATCACTAACACTCTGATTTCAGCAGACCCCGTTCTGTGTTTTACTTTATACTGTATAGAATATAATAAAATAATAATTTTATTGTTACTTTAAATGTACACTAATCGACATACATTAAAATGAAATTTCATTGCATTCAGCTGTCTAAGGCTCACCACTTCTGATATACACTACATAAATATGACAAAAATAAATAAATAAATACACAATTATGCATATACCCACATATATGACACAGAGAAACAACGTCTAGTTCAGATTATGTATATGTGTGCATGGTAAGAAAAATGAAAAATATTAATCAAATGTTGATAATAATGAAAAGAGCAAAAACCTCATTTTCAATTGGAACTTTCCATTTCATTTTAAAATATTTCAGGTTATTTCATTGATAGTTTTCTTTATTATATACAGCATCCTATGCCTTACATAGTAATTTGAATTTATAAATCACAGACATAAGGACAGCTTTTTTATCAGATTAAAAAAAAAGTTCCCTCTGATAAGGAATTAATGGACATTTAAATAAAGGACTAAATATTTCTTTAGTTTATGTATATATGTTTGTTTTCCTATACCGGTGTGGGTGTGTGTGTTTGTGTCTGTGTGTATTTTACCTATAAATAGGTTTATTGGATGAACCTCTCAGTTTTGTAACCAAACTGGCAGAATTAAAAATCAAGGGGAAAAGGAATAGAATTAGAGTAATAAACTCACAATGGGCAGCTGCTGTTCTTACAGTATAGCGGTTAGAGAGCAACAGTAACTCTGATTAGACATAAAAAGTGAGGGACGAAGGGATAAATAAATAAATAAATGCATATATACATGAAAAGTCTCAATACAGAAGATATCAGACTTTAAAGGTAATTTTTTCCTTATACCAAACAACAAACTGTATCTTGATATTTTAACGGGATGGCTCTGTATGCAATTTGGGAATCCTTCTGGATAATCATCTCTTACATAATTAGCAAGCAAATATTTTGAACAAAAGCATCTTGTATTCTATTGTCTCTGTCCCTGGGTTGGGTGGTCCTTCTTAAAATTGCTACTGTTGTCCTAGGTCACTTCCTGTCTGGAAAGTATCTGAGTGGTTTGCAAAACTGAAAACCACTTGAAAGCTATAATTGCTACAGAATGTGGCAGCAGAATAGATATGGGGACTTCTTATTTGACCCACGTGACAGACCTGCTCTGATTACATCATAAGCTTCCAAGGTGTTGATTGTCACATACAATACAAAGCAACTCATGTCTTAATACTTAGCTCCCTAGGACTATCTTTCTCCTATATCTGCTTGATCATTGGTATTGATCTTATGGGGCTTCAGTCTTATGGATCTTAAGAAGCTTCTCAATAAATTTGCCTGCAGTCAGGAGCAGTGTTCCCCTAAATGTGCAAATATTTTCAACCTTGTGGGGCTTTTTTAAAAGATTTAGATTTTCCAACAGGCCTCAGGCTAGAATATAGGAAATTGTTCCCAGATGGTGACTGGTTAGAAATACATTTGTTTAGTTACTTTTGGGGTATGTGCCATATATTATACTGTTGGTTTTATCCTATTCTATTTTTACTATTTTTTAACTTGATCTTTTATTCCTATTATATAAGTTAACAAAAGTCACTCAATGATTGAGATGATGTATAAGTTGATTTGATAAATAATATGTACAAATACGTTTTCATGTAATGTACTAGTTAAGGATTTTAATTATGTAATACTTTTTTGTCTTCACAAAAGATACAAATAATTCAGGATCTTTATTAAAGGACAGTATATTTTTTAACAAATGTTGTAATTGAATTTGAAAATGCCAATTGTCTGTGGTTTGAGGAATAGGAACAATGAGAGAGATACATTAGAATTTTTCTGTAAATATCTGTATTTTCAATTATTCCTTATTTCCCTTCCTCCAACCATAGCTACATTGAAAGTACTCCTCCCGCACAATAATTCTTGTATTGAAATGACTAAAATTAAGAATGTAGCATTGTTCTGCAACCAATAATAGAACTATTCAATTGTAAGTTTATGTCTTTTGTTCCTAGTTCTAGTTGATGGATCTCAAGGTTTTGTAAAAACAAACATGTTTTGTCAGTTGGGAAAATGTTAGATATACTTTTCATACTACCAGCAAACTTCACTCTACTGCATTGGAAAAAAAATCTGTTGTTGATCTTGAGCAATATTTCATAGATTATTTTGTATATATCATTGGATTCCTCATAGCTCTTAGTTCGTGGACTGAACTTCAAACATCCTTTAATTTTTCCCATAGGATATCATGTAAAATTGGCAATGCAACCTGAAATGGACTATTAAAGAATCTCTGTAGGTATAATCTGTAAAAACCTGCCAATCCCTCATGCATTTTAGCAACAGTTGTCCACAGTTAGGCTAGCATTTATAAACCTCCCTGTCAGATTTCACAGATGAGCCTTGTTGTTTTCCATTGCTTTATATTTCACAGCGTGTATTCTAGAACAGG